ACACACACACACACACACACACACACACACACACACACACACACACTCACATATACACACACATGTGCATTCTTTCGCTGAAATGATTGAGAATGACAGAGCGGCAACGCCTATGAGGTTAAAAGCAGTGTTAAGGACGATGCAGTTTTGCTCCTCTTTCTGCTGAAAACAGCAAGATGTTGCTGGCTTTTGATCCGTGCCATACCTTAGTCTGTATTTTTCCGCCGTTCTCTCATTTCTTTTTACATGCATCTGTCAATCTCCCGACCTCTTAAACATCTTTATTAGTCTACTATTAGTATCACCCCCTGGCACCATTATTATCACCTCCCACACTTTTTTCCTCCGCATTCTGATGCTCCAATAAAAAGTTTAATTCAAAAAGCCGTTTTGATATTCTAGAATGACCTAAGACTGAAATAACACAAACCTGAAAACGAAGCACTTGCAATAAGCTTAAGCCTATATATTAATATATCGTATTCGCAAGACCCCTGGAGGTGGCAGCACAATATTTATGCAAATCTTAAACTGACATTCTCATGACATATATGATACGCATGCACTGCACTTCTGACATCAAAATAACATGTAGACCCCCCACACACCCACACACGTACACACACACAAATAATTGAAAAATAAAATCTTCAAAAAAAAAAAAACCCAACGAAAAACAAACAAACAAAACCCAACAGCAAAGCAAACAAACAACAAAAGCACCCCCCCCCCTAAAACAACAACCCCAAAACCCAACATCCAACAACAAACAAACAACCCCACCCCCACCCCAAAAACAACCCTCATTATATACCGGTAAAGACTTGGTGCAATAATATGGGGGACAACACAGAAAAATGTAAGTATTGGGGATCTCACGTAAAATAAGACTAGATCTAGTTTTCTAACTACAAGCTCTTTTGACTTTGAGTGCATTTATTTGAACAAAGTAGTTTATACTATAAAACGTCCTGATGGTTCATATACACCGTAATAACCTGTCCACTCTACTCAGCCATAAAGGTCGACAACATTACCAGAACGCGCAGATGTGGGCACCATGACAGCCCATGACAGTTTCCTCCGTGATCTTCTGTGAAACTAAACCATAAACTGAGAGTCTCAAACTCAATTTACCTGGGGGCCACAGGACGTAGAGCCAGAGTGAGTCAGGACAGCATCAAGAGCCCTCCCCCACCCCCCTAGTAAAAAAAAGATGTAAAGTGTTTTAAATGAAATAGAACTGATTAATCTTTTCAATCTTTATCAACAGCAATTCAGAACATAAAATATTATGGTTATTCATGATAGCCTTCTTTTACCCACTCCTTGCTCCAGAAGCCTGACCGGGCTTGGTCTTACATAGCTCAACTAGCCTACTTTATGAGTATTATTATTTGAGCCATAAAAATACAGTCAGGCGGGCCACAAGTTCGAGACAAGTACCTTAAAACATTGCTAGCAATCTTATGGATTGTGTTACAGAGACGAACAAGAAGAGGAGTG